CCCGCTCCCTCCCAGCCCCCCAGGCACTTCCAGACCCCCTCCCATCCCGCACCTGGTACTTGGCCAGCTCCCCGCTCCGCCGGTCCCGCAGCCCCTCCAGCTGCCGGTGTAACGCACCCACCGCCCCCCGCAGCGCCTCCACCTCGGCGGCTCGGGCTCGCAGCAGCCTCCGGTAACCGGCGGCCTCAGCACGGGCACGGAGAACCGCCTCGCCGCCACCGCCCCACCGGCACCGGGGCCGGCCCTCAGCCGCGCTCATCCCGGTGGTGATGCTGTTCCACTCCCCCCCGCGTCACGGAACAGCAGCCAATCCCGCCGGTACCGACTGTCCGGCTCCTCCCGGCAGCAACGGAGGCGGGGGACCGGCAGCAGCCTGCCCCCCAAAAGTGGGGCAAGGGGCCGCAGCATCGTGGATAGCAGTCAGGTGGGGGGCAAGGTCGAGTTCGGGGTCAAGGTCATTGCTGTTCCCCCCCTTCCTCCTCTCCATCATCACCAGTCGAGGCCAGAGTGGGGCCGGAAGGTCTCGTGGGGGGAAAACCCATACTTAGGGGGTCACTGGGTCACTTAGGGGGTCACCCCCTCCCCCCCCTCCCCCACGAGTGTGCTGTGGGTCACAAAGGCTCAGTCTGTGGGAGGTGATAGGGGTCCTAGGGGGATTCAGGGACTGGTGCACCCCATCAGCATAGGGAGCACCCCGAGTCCATGACAGGATGCCGTGAGGGCACATCCGGGCCCAGGGAGCTGACAGATCAGTGGGTACAGGGCCAGGGGCCCAGTCCATCAGTCTGTCCCACCACTGGGGTGTAGCTGGCATGGCCAAGTTCTTCACCCAGCATGGTGGGCACAGCTGGAAGCCAGAGGTGGCAAACTCCAGGGATAAGGCAAGTGGTGTGGTGGGTGCAGACCCCACTGGGTGTGTGTGGGGGGGTCTCCCAGCACCAGGAATGGAATGTCCACACTGTGCCTTGCTCCAGGTGGGCCAGGGACTGTGGCTGCCCCAGTCTGACCCATGGAGCCGCTGGTGGGTTGGTAGCAGGTACTGAGCAGGGACCCCCGAGGAGTTGCCCTGGCACAGGGCCCCTAGGGTGGGGAGGCTGCAGAGCCCCACAGGGTGTAGGGGCCTGTCTGTGGGCTCCCAGGGGTCGAGGCAGGGGGCTGCCCACAGCAGTGCTCCAGGTGGGATTCGGTAAAGCTCTGAGTCCAATTGCAGGGGCATGGCCACCCAGCCAGGGGGTCCAAGGGGGTTGTCAGTGGCAGGGAGGGGGCTGCCCATGAGAGGCTGCAGCTCCCTCCCTGCTGCAGGCTGGGCTCCCACTGCCACCTCCCAGCACATCGGCAACACCCGGGGCCCTCACACCACGGAGGCCACCCCCGAGACCGATGTCACCTTGTTGTCCTCGGCCCAGGGCTGGAGGTTCTGCAGGGCATAGAGCGAGGAGTTGTGCATGCAGAGCGGGTCCTGAGGCAGCGGCTGCGCCAGGCTCTTCTGGAAAGCCTCCTGCTGCAGGTGCAGCATCAGCCGGTTGGCCTGCTGCCGCTCCGCCTCGCGCTCCTCCGCCGTCTGACGCCTGCGGATACCCACCGATGGTACGGACCACAGCTGGCACTGCCAGCACTGCCCCACAGCCCCGTCCCTCGTCCCTCAGAACCACCGTGTGTCAGTGTGGCACTGCCCCGCAGCCCCGTCCCTCGTCCCTCAGAACCACCGTGTGTCAGTGTGGCACTGCCCCGCAGCCCCGTCCCTCGTCCCTCAGCACCACCTTGTGCTGCTGTGGCACATCCCATGACACTATCAGACCTCATCCAGCTGGGCACAGGGGATGCCACAGTGATGGAAGTCTCACCCCTCCCCAGTCCAGCCTCTTCCAGGATGAGGGGGCTTAGCTGCAGTGGGGGGCAGCTGCTGGGGGGATCGAGGGGTAGGGTTGCCAGAGGGATGGGGGGTTGGGCTGCCAGAGGGATGTGGGGGGCGTGGTTGTGGCAGCTGCCCTGTTACCTCCACTTGGTGCGACGGTTCTGGAACCAAGTCTTGACCTGGGCATCTGTCATCTTGAGGGCCTTGGCCAGGGTGGCACGCTCGGCCGAGGCCAGGTACTTCTGCCGGTGGAAGCGCTTCTCCAGCTCGCAGATCTGCACCCGGGAGAAGGACGTCCGCGGCTTCTTGCGTTTGGGCGGTGTCCGGTTCTGGTAGGGGTGCCCAATGCGCCGCGTGGCCGTGAAGGGGGACAGTGCAGCTGTGGGGAAAGTGGGCTGATGGGGGGGCTCTGGAGGGGACCCCAGCAGAGCAGGGCAGAGCAGGAGCCTGGGGTGATGCTGGGGAGCTCGGGGCCCTGGGGACCCCCCTGCCTCGGGGGGTGAACCATGGCAATGAGGAGCTCTGGGGGAGCCAAGGGACAAGGAGCTCCAGGAGGTCACTGGTGCTGCCAGGGAGGGGAAGGGAGGGGGACAACCCTGAGTCATCCCTACCCGCTCCCCCAACCCAGGGACCCAGGGGCAGCTCAAGAGGTAGTTCAAGGGAGGACCTTTTTCCACCACACAGCCACAGCATGATCACTCCCCAGCCCAGGGGTGGGCACCAGGACAGGGTGGATGGGCTGCTCTGGTCACAGGGCTGATGCAGGACCTTCAGGCTCCAGCTGCACAAACCCACCCTCCCCAGACACCAAGCCCCACTGCAGCCCCCAAGGAGCCTTCACGACTCAGCAGGGGCTGCCCAGCCCTCCCAGGCAGGGGGTGGGACCCCAGAAGGTGTCAGGAGGCAGATGGTGTCTCCCTCCACGTCCCAGCATCTGCCTCCAGGTGCCAGTGGTGCCCAGGCTGACCATCGGCAGCTGCCGGAGTGCTGGGGGTCGGTGAAGGGGCTGTCCCTTCCCAGAGGAGCTGTGACCCAGACCTGGCCAGGCCAGTGTGTTGCATTTCCGAATCCAGCTGGAGCCACAGGGAGCTTCACGGGAGCAAAGTGGTGTGGGGAAAGGTGAGGGTTTAGCATGGTCAGCACCCAGCACCCACTGCCCTCCTGCTCCAGTAGCAGCCATGGCCATGCCATGGCCATACCATGGCCCCATGGCCCTGTGGCACCACAGCCTTATGGCACCTTGTGGCAATGCGGTCACCACCAGGGCCAGCGTAGGCAGGGCTGGACATGGCCCGGGCCAAGGGTGACCGTGTGGCCTGGGCCCCCATGGCACAGGGACATGGGGCACAGCCCACAGCACCCCGGGGTCCTCCTGACGCCCGCAGACCCTCCCTCCCACCTGCACCCAGCAGGCCGCCTGCCCGCCGGCAGGGGCGGACACGGTTGACGCAGGTGGAGCCGCGCAGTCGGGGGGACGGAGGCCCCCGCACCCCTCCCCGCGCAGGGCGGCCCCAAGCCGGGACCAGATGCCGCCTGCCCGCAGCCCACCCCAAGGCCAGCGCTGAGTGATGGCTGCGGCTGGGAGACCCCGTACTGGGAGGGGCCGCCCCATCCACCCACCACCGGCGCCAGGCAGGAGACGAGGACGTCACCCAACTCCCCTGCGCAGGGACGGTGCTTCGTCACCGCTGTGATGGCGGGCCGGGAGGTGAACATGGCTCTGCTGGTGCCCGGATGGGACCCCCACTGTCCCCGACCTCCCATCCCACACTGCCCCATCACCCCGTGGCCGGTGCTCAGTTCCCAGCCCCACATGGCCCCCGGCCTCGTCCCCACACGCGGCCGCACGCTGCAGACGTGGCAGTGCCGCCATCTTGGGTGGGAGCCGAGCTGAGCTGAGCCAGGCCGGGGGTCTCTGGCACCCGCAGGCAGTCCCAGTGCCTGGGACCCCGACCTCAGCACCCGCTTGTGCTCCTCATGGGTGCAGCAACCAATACCCCTGCGCCAGCACCGGCACTCAGCCCTCACCATGGCGCTCAGCCCCCGGCCCCACCGGGACCCCTCACGGCCTCCCCGACACCTATGCCCCGTCTGTTCACCCTGGCCCCAACACAGGCCCACCCTGGTCTCTGCCCCAGCACCGGCACTCTGTGTTCTGCACCAATCCCTGCACATGTGGGTCTGGGGGTCCCATCCCCACACATCCCACAGACACTCACCTCCACCACCCCCATTCCCTGAGGTTCGTGGGTCTGGGGCACCCACTCTGTACACAGACAGGCTTTGTCCTGCAGTCCCATATCAGGTCCCCCCACCCTACACCCTGTCCCCATGAAGACCCTTCATCACATCCCACTCCCTGCAGAGCCCCCACCCCACTCCGCGCGCCGAGAGAGCTCCACTCTGCATCCCACAGAGCCCCCACCCCACCTTTCGGCTCCCCGCAGCCCCCGGCAGACCCCCCGTTACGGTGGGACGGCGTTAGCATGTGGCGGCCCCCGGATCGGGGAAGGGACTGGACACGGAGCGCAGCCCGAGGCCAGAGCCCGGTGGGACCCCTCAGGAGCTGCACGGAGCCGCCGGACCCCGCTCGGTGCCGCGGTGGAGACTCCGGTGGCCGCGCCAGCCCCCAGCCGCTCCCGCGGGCCCCGACGGCGGCGGCCGAGGACCGGGCGCTGCGGAAACCGGCGGAGCTTACGGTCCCCGCCTTGCCTGGCCGGTCCCCGCGCCCGCCCCGACCCGCACCGCGTCGCGCCCGCCCCGACGGAGCCCCGGGAGCTGCCAGTGTCGTGTGAGCTCCGGAGCCGTCAAAAGCCGCCGGCAGCAGTCCCGCCCGCTCACCTGAGAGCCGGTCCTTGGCGATGCGGCGCGTGGTCTCCATCCAGGGGAAGGTGAGCCCCGGCAGCGCGGGCCCCGGGGGCTGCGCGGCGGGGGCGGCGGGCGGCGGAGCGGGCGCGGGCCGGTGCGCCGGGACGCGGATGACCCCGGCGGGCGGCGCGGCGGGCGAGGGGGTCACGTTCACGCTCACGTTCATGCTCATGTTGAGGTTGTAAGAACCGAGCGGACCGGCGGGGCCGTACCCGCCACCGTACAGCCCGTAGTCGGGCTCTGCGGCCGCCCGGTGCGGCCCCGCGGGCTCGGGGCCGCCCAGGATCTGGTCGATGCCGAAGCTGATGGGCTCGTGGGGCGCGGGGGGACCCGGGCCGCTGCCCTCCCGCTCCATCGCGGCCGCGCTCAGAGCCGGCGGGGCGCGGGCATGGCCGGAGGACGGCGAGGGGTGGCAGCGAAGGCGGTCACGGGGTGGCTGGTGCGGGACAGGACGCGGTGCAGGGTGCGGGTGCGGGCCCGGGGCAGGGTGTGGGGCAGGTGCCGGGGGTGGGTGCGGGGTGGGTGCCCGCTGCGGGGCAGGTGCGGGGTGCGGATGCGGGCTCGGGGCAGGGTGCGGGGCATGGCTCGCGGCCGCTGGCGGCCCCGGGGCGGGAGCGCGGGTGGGCTGAGGGCCCCGGCGGGACGCGCTTTTCTGCCCCTCTCCATCCGGACCGACCGAACTCCCACCGCCCGCGCCCTGATTGGCGGCCGCGCCCCTTGATTGACAGCCCGGGGCCCCGCCCCCGAGCCCCCTCCCGACGCCGCCGCCGCCACCGCTCCGGACCGGGTGGATGGGCCCGTCGGATCCCGAGCGCCCGCGCCCCGCCCGGCCCCGGGACCCCCCCTTCGCCTCTCCGCGCTCCCGCTCCACCCGCAGCCCCGTCGGGGCTCCCAGCAGGTCCTACCCCTCCCTGCCGGGGCGCACGGAGCAGCTCCTGGCGCGGCGCCGTTGTCCCGACCCGGGGCACGGAGAAGCCCCGATCCCGCCGCTCTCGGGGCACGCAGGCCTCGCACCGAGCCCGGTCCCGCCGACCCCTCCCAGAGCGGAGCAAAAGGATCTGGTGGCCCCGAAGCCACCGCGCCCTGTACGGGGACCTGGGGTTTGCCCCGGCCCACCCACGACACGGACCCATCCCCGGAACATGGATTCTGGTACCCCCGAGCTGCTGTTGCCAATTGCAGGAACCCCGGTTCCCAGAAACCGTCGTTCCCGGGGCATCGACCCCGCGCCGACTTGCAGTTCCTGGGCCATGCGGACTCGCTGTTCAGGGTGGTGGACCCCGAGACCCTCAGCCCCGCCACTACCAGTGATGGACCCCACTCCCCTGCCCTGCCTTTCCCGGTCACGGAGGCCAAGTCGGCCCCGCTGACGGGAGGTAACGGCAGCGGAGAGCGACGCGGGCTGGGCTGGGTCCTCCGGTGACTATCGCGACAGGGGCGCGGTGGCCCCGCGGGTGGGTCCCAGCGGCTCCCAGGCGGGTCATAGCCCCAGGTCAGGATCTGGCGGGGGGGATGGGGGGCCGCCCGGGCACCCTGGCGCCACCGGTCTAGGGCAAATGACATTACGGGGGCCTGCGCCTGTAAATCACGGCAGCACCGGGGGCTGCAGCTGCCGCACCGGGAGCACTGCACGCCCCGGGGGCACCCCACATCCCAGTGGCACCAGGCAGGCCCGGGGGCACTGGAGACGTTGCACACGAAGGCCGTCCACATCTTAGGGGCATCGAGCAGGCCCGGGTCAGCGGGTGGTCTCAGACACGCTGCAGTGTGGGGCTCCTGTCCCTGCATCCACAGCTCCGCTGGCCCTGCATGGGCACACGCTCGTGCCACCCTCGTGCCGGCCCCACTGTGGCACCGGGCAAGGCCAAGCTGCCCTTTTCCATACTGGGGTCACAATGGGAGCCCCCTGCCGTGGGTGCGGGTCCCTGTGCACACAGAAATGGAAAGGGGACACAGCACAGGGACCCTGCCCTATCAGGGCCATGGCTTCCTGGTGTTCCTGGCTCGCAGCCTGGCAGGTGCCGGGACAAACACCCAGTGCTCCTGCTGTGGCTTTCCCACCAGGAGAGAGCCCCTGGCAAAGGGGCTCACTGTGACCCCGTGGGGTGCAGCCAGTGGTGGTGGCAGCGGCGGTGACGGTGGTGACAGTGCCAGCGGCGGCAGTGACAGCGGTGGTGGGAGGAAATGGCCGGTGCTGGAGGAGGAGGCAGCAGCAGGTTAATTGAACCCGGAGCAGAAGGCAGATGTTGCCATGCCCAGGGGCTGAAATCTGCCAGGCTAGGAGATGGATTGGGGGGCTGGGATGGGGCCAGGGGTGACACAGGCTCACCCGGCGCCTGCCTGCACCGGGACCCGCCCCATGCCCACGGGGGTCTGCAGGCAGCACTGCCGGCCGGAGCAGCCCCCCTGCCTAGCGCCTTCCAGCAGCAAGGCCAGGGTTGCAGGGAAGGGCTGAGGGTGCTAAGAGAGTCGTGAGCCCCCTCCTGTCCCGGCTGTGGGTGCAGGGTGCCCCTCAGTGTCACTGCTTCGTGCCGCTGGCCCTGTCCACCCGTGGGCCACTGGAATGGAGGCCATGTCCCTGTGCCTGTCCCAGGGTCCCCTGAGCCACTGTGAGGCCAGGCAGGGTCCCTCCCCCTGGGACCCCCCACTGTGCCAGTACAAACCTTTCCTCATTTCTTGGCCACAGCAGGGACCCCCCACATCCTTGGTGTATGCCTCCTCCCACATCAAGGGGGGCCTGGCCTGGGGGTCCTCATTGGGCACAGGGGACACGTCCGCGTGTCAGGCAGAAACATGACCTGGAAGCTGGGTGGCAGGGATGGCTGTAGGGAACGCAGTGGAAAAAGGGGCACTTGCTTAGTTCCAGGAGGGAATCAGCCTTTGGCCACTGCTGCACCAGGTCCTGCCACCACCAGACCTGCACCCCCACCCCAACCCCCCAGGCCACCCTGACCCTCGGCACAGCTGAGCTGAGAGCAAGGGGGTCACACAGAGGGTCTGGCCCCTACTTGCCCCCCCAAGGGGCTCCTGCCAGGAACTGCCAGGGCCTTCACCCCGTCCCCCACCACAGCCCTGGAGTTGCCGGTGCAGTTGTGCAGCTTCGTGGTGCCACATTCCTGGTGCTGCCGTGCCGGCGGCCCCGTCCCCAGCAGCGATGCTGTGGGCACTGCTGCCGGAGTGGGGGTCGCTGGGACAGGTCCCTGCCTGCCCCCGGTGCCGCCGGCGGTCGCCCCGGTGCCCCGGCCATCGCAGCGATGGCGTGGCGGGGACTTGGCAGGGCCCCACTTCCCACCGGCCAGAGGCTGCCGAGCGCCCGCTCCCGCCCGCTCCCCCCCGTAATCTCATTACTGTTGGACGTCCCCTTCTTCCTCCCGCTTCCCCCCAAACCCGCTGGCAAACTGGAGGGACAGTCAGCTCCTCTCTGGCTGCTGGGTTAATTCTGGGCTAATTAGATGAACCAGCCCAGATTGGATTACTTTAGCCTGCATTTGGTCCTCCAGTCCTTGGCTTGCGGCTCCCGGGGGAGCTGCTGGCGCCTCCTGCCTCAATCAGACACTTCTTAACCGCATGAAACACTCCCGGTGCCCCCCGCCGCCCGCCCGCCGCGGGCGCCGGCACCCGGACAGGGTGCGCGGGGTAAGGCTGCAGCAGCCGGTGGGCGCGGTGCCCACCCCGACCCGCCCGACCCGCCGGGAGGGCTGGGATGGGGATGGATGGGGACAGAATAGGGCCGCGGTGGATTCGGGATGGGGTCGGGGGGGGATCGGGATGGGGTTGGTATAGGGCGGGGATGAGGTCAGGACGGGATCGATGTGGCCACTGGGGCTCCCGGGGCCCCGATGGCCGAGTCGCCCGGCCGGACGTCACGGTGGCCCTCGGCGTCTGCGCGGTGTCCTCGGGGAGGAGCCGGTGCCACATGGATGCGGGGGCGGCTGCACCGTGACGCCAACCCCCGGCTGTGGGGGCTGCTCGCCCCGGGCACCCCCAGACTGCAGCCCCTGAGGGGGGGGACAGCGGGGCCGGGGGCCGGACAGCCCCCGCCCCAGAGGGTGCCGGGGGCCCGGACTGAGGGTGCAGCTGGGATCAGGGGCAGAGGAGCTGGGGTGAGGGGCATAGCCTGGGCTAGAGAGGCTGCAGAGGTGCTGTGTTTGAACGTCTCTATCTGCGAAGTGTCCCAGTGAGCCCTGCCAGTCGGCAGCACCTGCCACGGCCAGCTCTGATGCCAGTGGGGCAGCAGCTGAGCCTCCAGGACTTCAGTGGAGTGAGGGCAGCAGGGAGGGCGATGGAGCAGGGGGCAGGAGGGGGCACTGTGGGAGTGGGGGGCACACCTTGGGCTCCAGGACAAGCAGCTCCAGCCCCCCGGTCAGTGGGGCCAGTGCCTAGGAGCCATGGGTAGGCACACCAGGACCCTCTTCCTTGCTGGGTGCTCCTTGGGGTGCCCGTGTACCCCCATCCCCACCTATCCAGAGCCCAACGCCAGCTGGGGGCTGCTGGGGGGTCCTGCCTGGCCAGGGGCTGTGGTGACAGTGCTGCCCATCCCACTGGGCTGGGTGCTCATCAGGGGCTGCCATGTGCCAGTGTCCAGTGTCCACTGACAGCCATGTGCCGGTGGCCGGTGGCCGCTGACAGCCGCGTTGCTCAGGGCCTCGTTATCGAAGGTTAATTGGATTCTGCAGATGCATTCAGTGCATTAGACAGGAGCTCAGTCCATAAGTGCCCAGCCCCCACTACCACAATGAGGACCCCTGCCCTCCTGCCAGGGATCCCTCCATACCCTCTGGGGACCCTTGCCCACCTCACAGGGACTGCTGGGAGGCCCCAGCCCACCCTATGGAGGCTCCTGTCCATCCTTGAAGACCCCTGCCTGCCTTGATAGGGTCCCCTGCCCACTCCCTACTGGCACTGCTGGGGACCCTTGCCCATCCCGCCTGCCCTGAGGTTCCCTCGCCTTCCCTAAAGGAGTGCTTGCTCACCTTATGGGGACCCCTGACCACCCTGGTGGACCCATCCATCCTGTCACAGCCCCCCGCCTGCCTTGCCATGGTTACACCATCCTCAGAGCGCCCATGGGGCCACGACCCAGCATGTGGGGCCAGTGTGGGGCTGGGCCAGGGGCTCCAGCCACGGGAAAGCCAGGACAGGATCTTGGCTCCAGCTGTGGTATAGTGGGACCGACCAGGGCGGCCTAACACTGCTGGCCTGCACCACTGCGATCATGAGCGAGTCTGGCCTCGGCCCAGCCCCAGCCCTGCTCCCACTGCGGTCACAAACACGTCCGGCCTCGGCCCAGCCTCGCTCAGCCCCAGCGAGGGGTCTGGCCAGGAAAGCCCCTGGCAACACTTCCCAGAAGGAGCC